AGACAGCCATGCTGGTTGGGGAATTCTGGGAGTTGAAGTCCACTCATCTTAAAGTGGCCAAGTTTGGACAACACTGGCTTAAAGGGTGGGGAACTTCTGGCCTTTTCATTGTTTCTGAACTACAACTCCCAACATCTCTCACCACACCTGCAGGGCCCAGATTCCTTGTTAGATTTATATTCCTCCTTGTCCCTAGGAGCTCAAGAGAGCAGACATCATACTCCTTGTTCCTCATCTTAGTGGACTCCTTGTAGAATGCTACATTCTGGGAGAAGGCAAGGGCATACCATTTCTGTACTCTGGCCAAAAAAGTAGCTGGGTTGAATATAGGCATATAGTCACCAAGCATTAAGTTCAGCTCTTCAAAATCTTTACCTTTATCAACAAAAAAGCAGCTTTCTGGTTGTTCATTCTATGCATCTGTGTGTGCTACTTTAATGAAGTAAACATCTCTCCCATACCCACTGAGAGTGCTTTTCCAACTCTTTTAGATTAAAATTCAGTTGATATAATGTAAAGAGAGGAGCAACACTTGCCTTCCACCAACATTGTAATCTTTAAAGTTTATACTCCAGGAAGTATATGATCTCCCCTGGACCTTTTTCCCTCTTCTGTTCATCAGAATCTCAAGGTCTATCCAAAAGGACAGCACAGATTTGGTCAAATGTATAGGCATAGACTACTTCTGGTTCTTATCCTACAGCTCTGGCATTGGCTGTAATTCTTAACAATAACTGCAAATGTTTCTGTTAGGTCTGAATCTAGGAAAGACGCTCATAAGGTCTGAATCTAGGAAAGACGCTCATAACTCAATCCCATTTCATCCTTTCTCCATTGTAGATCTTAGTGGGAAAGTGTTCTATGTTGTTTAGTAAAACAGTTCCTTGAGGTCATTGCAGGAGAAGAATCATGTCAGTCTATGGTGGCAAAAATCGGGAATGCAATCAGATTTCTGATTTTTTGCACCCTTGAAGTCAGGGCGTCAAGCTAGTTCACTGGATATAAAAATAAACTATGTTAAATGTGCATTGTTTCAGCCCATCTGATTCTTCATTTATCTTTGGCAATAAATCACAAATAAATTGTCAGCATATCCTAACTTGAGGTGCGGGCTTGTGCCTACAAGGAAGAAGCAGCTGTCTTTAGGTGAGCATAGAATCAGGGAGTCTGGTTTTAATGTACTTATCAGAAGCTACCTTGGATTAAAGAAAGCACCTGGCACCCAGGGTCACCCCTTGGTAAGAAGACCTGTGGGAATGACCACAGCCCGAAATTCTCTTTAAATACAATTCACCCCCGAATCACAGTATGTCTTGCTCCTGGACGTTGCTTCCAGGTGCTCTAGAAAAACACCATTTCTGTACAGTATGTTGCTTCTGCTTGGTCACAAAGCAACTTCATTGTGGGGATCGATGGCATTTTACGGATATCACGCTTTGGGGAGAGAGCCAAAAAGCACTTGTTAGATTTGCCGTCTGTCCGGCCCAGTTTATTAGAAGCCACGCCGAATAAGGCCAGCGTCCAAGCGTGGGGAAACGACTTGCAGAACACGCGACGACGGCTTGCGGGTCTGATCGCGAACCGCCAAGCCAGCGCGGGGAGAGACTCCAGCTCCGCGGTTTGCGAGCCGCGCGGCGTCGCCGCGTTTTCCGCCCAGCCCTACCTCGTCCTGTGAGTTTGTGGGCCGTCGCGAGCTCCCTCGCGCCCCCCTTTCGCTCGGTTCGCTCCGGCGCTCCGCCCGTCTCTGGCCTCCCCTGCGGAGCCCCGCGCTAGTTCCTCTCGCTCCTGGGCTTCTCTGCGTGCGGGACACCTTGGCATTGTCGAAAGAGGCTGGGCAGCGATCGGAGGCAAGAAGTGGCTCGCTGACAAGAGCCACGGCGGTCCGGCGAGCGAGGAGGAGCCTGCAGGGATGCGAGCCGCGCAGCAGCCGCGCCTGCCTCTCTGACCCGCCGGCTTTGCTGTGGTACCAAGTTGGCAGAGTGAGGAGCGCCGCAGCCTGGCACGGACGGAGAGATCCGGCGGCGGAGGGACCCGCTGCCCCAACTCGCCTCCCGCTGCCTTTCTGGCTTAAAAGTTGTGGGTTGCCGGAGGAGGAGGGGGAGGAAGAGGAGCGGTGGGGCTTCGTGTGGGGAGGCTGGAGCCTCCTTCGGAGAGGAGGGCGCCTCTGGAGACCAGCGAGAGGAAGAGCGAGGGAGGCGCCGGCGCCGCCGCCGCCTTAGCCGGGCGCGATGCCTTCTGCCTGGAGCCGAGGAGCGTCTGGCCCCGGGGTGATCGCCCTGCTTCTGATGGCCGTTGGCAACCTGAGACTTTGCCATGCAGGTAAGCCCATCCGCTACCATCTCGGCCCGGCTCGTGAGAACGCGAGGAGAAAAACACGCGTCCTGATAGCTGCGCTGCTTCTCGCGGATGCTTCATTCCGAACTCGGTTCCAAGGGGGGAACGGAAGGGGCCGCCTTCCTCCCCCGATCTGTAAAGTTTCCCCTGGGCTCCCCGGCCCTCATCTGCCCCCCTCGCCCGTTCCCACTCCTATTCCCATCCTATTCCTCGTCTGGATCTTGCTTCTTGCAGCGGCGCCGCTAACGCGCCCCGGACTTTAAGAACAGGTTTGCGGACCCCAAGAGAGACCCGGCGTGGGGGAAGCCGAAAGGCGGAGGAAAAGGTGCCT